GTGTGTGTGTGTGTGTGTGTGTGAAAAACCTGAGTCTGGTTCCGAAACACTGACAGCAGAGACAATGTGAACCCACCTCATGTTGTCGGGGTTGAGCAGATGCTTTTTGATTCTGGGTAATGTTCTGATGACTTGGGTGAGGTCCGACATCTCAGCAATCCTCTTCATAAACTTCACCTGGTTTTCAAACAACCGAAACACAGGATGTCAAATTTACCGACAGGGACGTCCCGACGCGTGAAGTTCATCCTCTTCTCGTGAGCTGAGTCGTACCTGCTCCATCCCTCCAAACGTCTCCTGGAGGTCTCCTGCTGGAGTCAGGTGACGGCCGGCGCGGGTCATCGCATACATGTGTCCGGAGTACGAGATCCCATTGGCCAGTTCTTGCGCTGACCTCATCACCAGCACCCTCAGACGCTCCTCGTCATCAAAGTGGGGACTGAAGGGAGGAGGCACGAGAGTAAGATTCCCTGCATCTCACAGCATCAACAATTAAGATTTGTCTTGAAAAACTCTCCACCAACAACGAAGCTCAAGTGGAACCGGACGCGTCTCTCGCCGCTCGAGGTCGTACCTGTTGAATATGTCGCTCCACAGCTGAAACATGTGAGGGAGGTTCCTCTCCAGGCAGGAGGAGAACAGGAGGACACCCTGGAACCGGGAGTTTAACGGTTAAAGCATGAAATCATCTTCAGGCAGGTTTCAAGCGTGTCCTAATAAAAGTCTGGGACGAACACAGATATTATAATTTCCCGATCGGGATACCTCTGCACGGCAGCACAACGCATCCTCAAGCATCTGCCCACAGGACGGAGACGGCACTGACCTGCTCGTACATGTCCAGCTGCGTGGAGTCAGGGATGACCTGCGTGGAGACGGACATGCCTCCGGTCCTCAGCTCCATCTGCTGGGCCTGTTGCCTGTAGTCCAGATCTCCAGAGCCCATCCTGAGGAAACACAGAGGCACAGATGAACACTGATCTGGAGACGATGTAGATGTTCTTCAGAGATCTTCTCCACAGCGGGCCTCGTGGACGATGTCATGAATATTTTATTTACATCAGAGACACATAAAGTTCAACAAAAACACATAAATATTAGTTCTAAAAAACTACAAATGCAGCACTTAAGAGTTTCAAAGCAGTTTCGAGGAGCCACCTTGACGTGTGACAACCAAAATCGAATCGGATCATCCGTGAGTCGAAATGAACATTTGCACCAAATTTGAGACGATTCCCTCAAAGCGTTCTGAACATATTGTGTTCACAAGGCGAGAAAAGGTGCAGTCCCAGGTCGTCAGACGAACTCACCTGGTGATAACGCTGCAGAAGAGCGGGACGTAAAGCCTGAGATCCTCCGGCAGCGTGTTGAGGCTGCACATGGCTCTGAAGTAAACCAGACCATTGGTGGGCTGCTCACAGAACTGAACCGGAACTCCTCCTGAGGACAGAAACTACAGCGCTGCAGTTACTGCGCAAGAGTGACGTGAAGTGTTGCGTGGTCGGCACCGCGCTCTACCTGCAGAGCTCATCTGAACCGCGGTGGCGCTGATCGTCGGCTCGATGTCGCACACTTTGAGCGCAGGCAGACAGGAGACGTCCTGGGTTTTACTCTGAGCAGCCAGCAGTTCCAGACCTTTCCGGGAGGACACGTGAATGTTATGGAGATTTGAATGTTTCGTTAACTTCGCAGAGCGACACCAAGGCGTAATCATCGTTACCTTTCTCATAGATCTCCTTCCTGTCGCTGTCGGACAGAGCCTGGATCTTTCTCTGAAGCTTCTCTTCCTCTGCCTTGGCCTGTTTGTCCAGGTAGGCCTCATCCGGGCTCATGGACAGGGTCAGTCTGTGAGTGTTCTCCTGCAGAGAGTTCAAGGAGAGCAGAACGCGAATGAGCATGAAAACCTAAAATAAGAAGCGGAGGTTAAATCTTCCTCGTTTCTTTCACCTTAAAGTAGTGTTTGACTTTGTCCTGTAAAAAACGAGGGTTTTCCATCAGGGCTTGTTTGAACTTGGCAACGCTGTCGCTGATCTGCAGCAGCTGTACCGGGTCACCGTTATGGTTCCACGATGACGCTATGTACTAGAAACACAAACAACATGTCCCGGGTGAGGAAACGAATAAATACAAATGTGCAGCTCTGAAAAACAACACTGAAATAATGAAGTACCTTGATTTACCCTCGTTTCCTGTATTTCAGAGACATGTTCCACAGAGGACAAAGACAAGTTGTCCACTAATCCTCACACATAATTCTTTTTAAACACTGACATGACGCTCAGAGAACAAACTAACCTCCCCAGTGTTGTAACGCACCGAGCACGTGGAGGTTTATAAATCATGTCGTAGGGTCCTCGTGGTTGTGAAAACAAACCGTGACGAGACGTTAGAGATAAGCAGCAGAGAACTCACCGAAGCTAACGACAGACCGAAGTTGGTGGACTGGTGTTTCATTTGGATCTCGATCTTGTGGAGGAGCGCCTCGATTCTCTCCTCCACGAAGCCGTTCCTGTGTCGGATGATAAGAAGTGTGTGTAAATCTATTTCTGCTTTCTTTCATTATTTCAACACGTAGATCTGACAGAGCTGAGGGACTTACTCGATAATGTCGTCCATGGTTTGGCTGATGATTTGTTTCACCCTCTCCGAGTCCTCTTCAGCCATTCCCTGCAGACCTATGCTGAACGACGCCTCTTTGGTGCTGCCGTCGTATCTGGAGAAAGGAGCATTTTGTTTAGCTGCCATCTTAAACAGAGATTTAACAGTGTTGCGTAGTTTGTTTTATCCCACACGTGATAAGCAGGTGCTGAGATGCGTTTTCAAACTGGAACTTTTAGTCTGAAAGAAGCAGAAGGTTCCCGGTACACACCCGACAACAGAGGAGAAGTCGGTTCCTAACTTGGGTTCGATCAGAGCTTTGTAAAAAGGAGAGTTTGGTCCAGAGATCATCAGTTCGGACAGCAGGCTGAGAGTGAATCCCTCAAACGTGTCGGTGATGCTGGTTAGAGACAGAACAACAGAACGAGAGATCAGATGTTGAGGAATAACATGAAGACGAGCAGCAGCGTGAGAAGAAGCTCTGTCATCTTCCTGCTCTGCTTCAAAATGTCTGAGCAGGAAAACAGGAGAGACGAAGTGGACTCACTCTCCCAGCAGGTAGCTCACACACAGCGTGTTCTGCCGGGCGGGATCTGGTGCCAGAGCATCAGGGCTGCAGGTCACATGCTCCTCTCTCTGAAGAGGAGAGAAACACGTGGTGACTCCTCAACAGCCGCTACAGACGACCGTCATACATGTTGTGTGTACCGAAGAGACCGGAGAGGGACGACGTGCAGCACAGACTCAAGACAAAAATGCTTTGAGCGTAGTTTGAAGTTTTGCGGTGTTGAATAAACAGTAATATGTGAGATCTGTGTATTTACAGGGCTGCTCCAGTGAGGCTGGGGGGGGACATCTGTGTTTGGGTCGATGCGCTGGAACTTGGACAGAGCCTCCTCTTCAATCTGCTTCAGATGCTGCTCCAAAGGCAAATCTCCGTAAGTGAAGAATCTGGGAAAAAACAAACAAACACGTACACTGAAAGATGTGCGTCGAGGAGACTTCATGTCCTGTCCATGTGTGTGTGTCTCCCTCTACCTGGCGTTGCTGGGGTGGTAGTGTGTGGCGTGGAACTGTTTGAGTTGCTCCCAGGTGAGGTCGGGGATGACCAGCGGTTCTCCCCCTGACACCACAGAGTAGGTGTGGTCTGGATACAGCTTGTTCTGAAGGTGCTGGGCGTAAAGACGCTCGTTGTCCGACTGTAACGAAACAGCACAAGTGTCGTGTCATGTTTATGCTGTCGACAACGACGGAGCAGCCAACAGCAGATTGAATCCACCGGGAGTAAAACTGAGAAACACTACAGAGAGTCAGACGGTGTCGACTTACAAACACGCCCTTCATCTCATTGAACACCACTCCTTTAAACACCAGAGGGGAGCTGGCATCTGTGGGGTCTTCGTTCTCCAGCCGCCAGCCCTCCTGCCTGGAAACACACACAACCCAATTACAAATCTCTGGTTTCATCCATATGACTGCGACCAATACTTTTTCATGGTAGTTAGAACTGTGCTGTGTTTGAGGTAAATAGATGAGTGAAGATACACAGTGAACGGTCAGACTCACCAGAAGTCCTGCTCTCGTAAACAAGGGAAGAACACAGCGTCCAGATAGACGGACAGGAGGTTCTGGAAGTCTTTTGCATTCTGGGTTGAGAACGGATACATGGTGTAGTCACTGGCTGTTCATGAAGAGACAGAGGAAACACACCTGGATCTTTAGCAACTAATGTAAACCTTCGTTTGGGTTTATTTGATTTAAATTCATTTAATCTGAGTTTTAACTTCTGCGTGTAAACGTATTACGAACACCGTTATCATCCTGTAAACTTCTATCTGACTGAATTCTGAGTCACAGTCAGACGGACATCCAGGATCTCACGGTGGACATAAACAAACGTTTCACCATCTTTTGCTCGCAGACTCCGAGGTCACGTGCAGGTGCGGCTGATCGTACCTGTGAAGGCGTTCATGAAGGTGGACAGAGACCTGTTGAGCATCTTGAAGAAAGGGTCTCTGCAGGGATACTTCTCAGACCCACACAGCACCGTGTGCTCCAGGATGTGGGGGACCCCCGTGCTGTCCATGGGGGTCGTCCTGAGCTGGACGCTGAAGAGGTTGTTGGAGTCATCTCTGGCTGCGTGAAGGTACTGAGCTCCGGTTTCGTCATGAGTCAGCTTCACTGCCGTGAGAAACAAGTCGGGGACCGTGGCGACCTGGAAGAGAAGACGGGCAGGAGATGGTTTCAGGATCGAGGTTCAGTTTTCAGCCACTTAAACCGAGCATCTAGTTGTAAAAGAAGGTAAATGAAATAAACAAAAGACTAAAACAATTCTCAGTTTGTTCTCTGAGCCGTCACCGACCTCTCTGACTGTGAATCCGTGGATTTTCTGTCCTGCTTGGAACTGAAGAGCTCTCTCTGCTGAAGTGCTCTTCAGCCTCCAAGCACTCTGCCGTCCATTGAGACTGTTGGGAAAGACGGAACAATTCCCCCATCAGTGCACAAACACAGATCTGGAGTACTCTGTGTGTGTGTGTGTACTCTGTGTGTGTGTGTGTGTACTCTGTGTGTGTGTGTGTAAGTTTAATATTATTCACACGGTCCAGTGTCTCAACTCGTATATTTGACTCAACAGGTTTAAAGATGTGCACAAACATCAGTCTTCGTCCATGAGTCATAACGACGCTGTGGCTTTGATCAGTAAAGAAGTTTCCTCTGCAACTTCATGTCGGAGAAAAATACTCAACAGTTTAAAGTAAACAGAACTTAATCTTTACGTTTATGTTATAAATATACAAATATATACAAACACACAAGCAGGTATTTTCAAATATATATGTAATAATATACATATAAAACTATATACACATGCATATATGTACAACTACGTATGTATAAACATATATACAGATATGTATGTATATTTGTACACACAAAGATAAATTCATATTTATATACATGTGAGTGTGGATGTAAACTCACACACGTACAAATGTACATACATATACAATGCATGTACACAAATATATAATACACACAGTGACCCTGACAGTGTCACACACACACACGTTGTCCTAGATTTGACCCTGTCTCTCTCTCTCTCACACACACACACACACACACACACACACACACACACACACACACACACACAGAATGCATGTACACAAATATATAATACACACAGTGACCCTGACAGTGTCACACACACACACACGTTGTCCTAGATTTGACCCTGTCTCTCTCTCTCTCTCACACACACACACTCACACACACACTCTCTCTCTCACACACACACACACGCACGCACGCACTCACACACGCACGCACGCACACACTCACCGCAGACTCCGGAGTTTCTGCAGCAGCGCCTTCGTCTGTCGGAACATGTTCAGCGATGAGATTAGAAACCACGCGGTGTCATCGGTGAAGCCTCTTCACTCCGGAACCGCGCGGACGCGTCGGTCGCGTGACGTCAGAAGAAGAGGACGGTGAAGTTGTGTCGGGCTCAGTTCGGTTCTTCCGCCGCCATGTTGGTCTGCACATGCGCTCAGCACCCGGAAGTGAAACCGGCACCTCGGAGCATTCCTGCTTCTGATTGGTCGAGCCGGGAGGAAGAACTCACTTGATTGGCTCAAAGCAAAAAAAACAAAAAACACATATGGGGATTTTTTTATCTTTTAAAATTTAAATCACCATCCTCCACTGTGAGAAATAAACTTCACCTGAACTTTAAATAATTCGATCAGGAAAATATTCAGATTCCTTTATTTTACATGTGATTCAGCCTCTCTTCCAGCAGATGGCGCTGTAAGATCACGTTTTGTCCACTTCACCCCCCCATGAGTCAAATACAAATACAAAGACAGTAACACGTCAAATTCTTATTAAATATGTATGTTTAATATATTAATAAATTAAATGACCCACCAACATTTTAATGTATATTCATTTATTATATGCTCGAGCACAGCTCCAGTCCATTTGCTAAAATATTGTTTCTCTCTATTCAAATTCATTTAGAAGTATGCATTATTTTAATAAAACGTCAGGTCTGGAAATATTGATGTTGACGCAGGGGAATTAAGCAGGATTATCATGTGTCAGTTGATTTTCTGCAAAACCCGGTGGAAGGACGGAGACGTGGACCAAGAGAGAACCCGTGGAATTTTGCCCCAGATCTGGACAAAGGAGCAGATTTTTTTTATCACTCTCCTCAGGTACAATCAGACTAATGGTCAGAGTGTGTTTAATTTGGTGTGGCTTGATTGAATGGGCCTTGGAAGAGGTGTGTCCTCCGAGTGCCATTCTGTGTAGTTACGAGCGATCGAAATATCCGCCAAGCACTTTTTGCGGGGCGGCGCATTCCAGTTGGTGGAATCAGGGTCATAGAGTTCGAACAAAGCTCGGCCGCGTTAGGTTGCGTCTGTACGTTCGGCTCGGCTGTTGAGTCTGGCAGGGTGTGAAATTATGAGATCAAAGCACTGACCTGAAATCAGCCGGTTAATTTGTTTTAGTACAGGAGAAGGTGGTTGGAATAATTTGTGTACATTAGCAGAGTTCTCTTTCAGGGGCCCCCCTCCTGTGCAGAGACTGAATCCTTTCCAACAGTGGTAATAATGGTAAGAGCTGCAGCCTTCTCCGTGACCCGACAAGATTATTGTAGAAAGGATGATCTGTTTACTACAAACCCACCACGGTGCCATCTTTTGGGATTGAACAGGGACTGTGCAGTCACTTCTCACCATGGTTTAGACACTCCAGCACAAAGTGAAACTTCCTTCCTTCGTGCTGAAATCACCGTGCCTGCACTGACCGCCTCTCTTTTTCCTCACGGTCATCCCTTGTGTTTCCGCTGACAGCACGTGGGAGATTTTCCAGCAGCTTGAATGGGAGGCCTTGGTGAAGGAGGCAGGAGCGTTTTTGATGGAGCAGCAGCGTCCTCCAACGTGGTAGCCGGCTCCAGTCGGCCTCTGCATGTTCATTATCAGCGAAAAAACCTTGATCACACAAAGTGAAGCGAAGAGAAAACACGGAACCGAAAGAAATTCATCTTGAAAATGTGATTTTGTGAAAAGCTAAATGTGGCCATGAAGTGATGTAATTTTGTTTCATGGATGTTTTAAGTCACATTGGTGATTTCATAATGTCGTTCTTTCATAATTTCACTTTGATCCTGTTTTCATGGGTAAACCATGAAACCTAACATTAATCTACAAGTGGGGATTTTTTTATGTTTCAAAGTTAAAGAGAGAGAAAAAACATTTTGGCAGCCTGGATCGTGCCTCGTTAATTTGATGTGCTCCTGCTGAAGAAGAGCATAATGCAGGAGGGATCAATCAAAAGTAGAAAAGTATGTGATCTCAGGGGAATAAAAACTCTCGAGTTTTATTCCCACACGTTTGGTACAGTATGAGCTCAGCGTTGTTTACCAGGGAGGAAATAAAAAGACATTTTCCTTTTGTGTTTACTATGTAATAAAAAATAAAAGTACCCTCATCAATTAAACAGGAAAATCAAACAAAACACGGTCACAAAATAAAAACCCACACAGGTAAAACACAAACCCTGGATTGTGGGAAAGTCTGGCAGTTTATTCATGTATGGGATTATACTGTAGTGTGGAAAATTAGCAAACAAGCTGACGCAGACTTTTTTAATTTCATGGTGACTTTAAGGTCAACTGAAGGATTACATACGCCTCTATAGGGTTGAGCAAACCCTCTGCTCTTAAAGCCCTTATTTGAATAAAGTAATGAATGCATGATGGTCAAGTAATAAATAAGAGTTTTCTGTCCATGAAAAGTAGATATATTTTCACATTGGACCCTGTGGCTGGGTTCAACAAAGCTTCCAATGTAAAGCACATATTCTTTCCAGCATATTTTAACAGATGGAAAAATAAAAATCCCTCCATATAACCAGGAGTGTATGTAGTGTAGTGTAGGTGTGAGTGACTGGTGGCGTGTTGGTGTTGATGTGCTCTTTCCTTCAGGTAATCCACAGGATTTTATAAAGGTCTGGACTGTCCAGACGCCGATTCATCCATCTTAAGCTATCCATCAGTGTCAGATGGAAAACAAAACCTCTCCTTCCCCACTCGATGTGTTACCCAGCGACAGTCTGTGAATGTTTCTTCCTACGGCAACAACCTGCTCCATATTCTCATTTTTAAAAGTAATCCAGTTCACAGTGGCTGCGTTAGGAAAGGAAATCATTGAGGAAGCAGTTTGAGGAAAGCACATTGTTGTTTCGACGTGACGATGCCCCCGTGCACAAAGCCAGGTCCGTTAAGACTTTCTAGTGCCCTGCACCTCGTCCAACAATGCTGAGATGAACTGGAGGTCGGTCCTTATCGCCTGACGACAGCGTTGGACCTCACTGATGCTCATCAGGCTGAATGGAAGAAAAATCCCTGCAGCCGTGTTCTAAAATCTGTCTAGAACCAGGAGAATGGAGGCTGCTCGAGCCACAGATGAACCCACAAGGTTTGGGATGTTCTTTGGACAGGCTGGTCTGTGCAACATCAGCAGTTACGTCGGTGAGATTAACCACAAGAAGAAGCTTTCGCTACAGCGGTCGATCCGCCACGTCTGGCGCTTTCAGTAGCATGTTGAGCTGATCAGAGTTAGCTATAGCCATGTTGTCCAGTGTCGAGCAAATATGGTGGACAGATGTGCCCCCACTGCTCCGCACGCCAACCACTGCACAAAAAACTGCTGATATCATTTGCTGTAAATGATAAATTGGAAATAAATCAAAAATCATGACATTCCTATCTTTGTGTGACAGGATGGTTTCTGCAGTCACCGCCCTCAGTGCACACCGTGCACTGCATTTCACTGCACCTGCACCTCCTGCTGTATCAGCACTAATGTTTATCACACACGCCCTCTCCGTGGCTTTATCACTCCCTTCACAAAGGGCAAATAAAGGTTGGGTATTTGATAAAATAAATTATCACGGGCTGTTTACTTTTAGCCTGGTCCACTATGGAAGGCAGAGCTGTGCTTTCTCCCTCAGCCTCCACCAGCACCAAACCTTTCTCCTGCTACTGGTGCAGATGTTCGGTATGAGATCTCGTATTTTACAAAATGTAAGGAGCAGTTGAACAATAATCTACCGACATTGTTTCCTCCCTGTGTTTTGGAATCAAGCTGTTTCCAGGCGGTGGTATTAAAGAATGAAGTTTAAGTGTTCAGCCTGATGTCCTCGTCACACAGTCGCCCATGCAGGGGTTTAAACAGGAAAATATTCTGTACATGCAAAAGAGCTCGGATTCTGTGTCAGGACACATGTTGTGATAAAAGAAAAGGAAGGAGTCTCATTAATACCTATAGAGTTCAGAATACACGTCCCACAGGGCTCTTTGCTTGGACACTAGCCGATCTGACACGGCTTTGCTCTTTTTCACCGAAATGTCAATTTCTCCCCAGACCTTTTCATTAGTGCACATTTTAGATGGATAGTTGGCCCCGGGTCTGCACTCCCATCCCATCCACTTTGCTCCTCACCTCTGGGGCCAATTAGGGCACTGGAGCTGAAAATAAATGAAACGCGGTGGCAAAACAGCGTTTACTTCAAAACCTCGCGCCTAATTTGAAGATCTCTCCCTCTGATCTGAAGTTGAATTAGCGGGGTGATATTCCTTTTGATCTGGCAGGTTTTGCATTTGTTGCCAGCTTATTGAGCGGAGACTCCAGAGGAACACTGAGCGTTAAGTGTGTGGACATACTGGATGCACACAGACACACACGCCTACAGAGACTCAGTGCAGTGTTACACAGAAACATTAAGCTTTATCTTGTCCACTCCCTTTGTTTAAACACGCGAAAAGTCAATGCCCCATGCAGACGATTACGCATGTCGAGACATCTACACGTGTGTATGTGTGAAGACCCTCGTTACCAGGAGGCATTAGCCCCTAATTCTGAGCATGACAGACACAACTACCTGCGCGACCAGATCGTTTCCCCGAATCTTAAAAAGATCATTCTGGGTTATTAAAAACACCATTTCTATCAGTAATGATGTCACAGGTTGTTAAATAGCTCCAGGTCGTCAAACTCTCACACACTGAATCTGTTTTGGCTGTGCTCACTTTATCTTTGAACCGGTTCCTTCTCTCGGTTTCTTGCAAGAAAGTAAGAAACATCCTCCCAAACTCTCTTTTCGGCAGCTCAGACATCCGACGGCTTGAAGAATGATCCTGAAAAGTCGACGGCTGCTCCGTTCACATGATTTGGTTTCTGCTTTGATACCACAGTAGCTGTTGTGTGTTGAAGCTGATCATTTAAGTTCATCCATGACCTTGGAAACAAGTGTTTGACGAACAAATCGTAACTCAAGGTTCGATTACTCGCTCTCAATCCCGCAGAGTAGATTTAAGTGTTTGACACTGATCTGGACGGATCGTCTGGACGGGTCACCTGGACGGACACTGGCCCTCGTCCCTCACAGCCAGACGGCACTCCTGACACAACCTCCGCCTCTGCTGCATTTCATTTTCTCTATTTTCGTGAGCACACACACACACACACAATGTAGCCATCTGAGCAGCGGTGAACCACACACTGTGTCTACATG